ATATATATATATATATATATATATATATATATATATATATATATATATATACACATACTACTATTTATACCACAATTTCTCTCCGAATTCTTTTTTGTAAAACCCGTTTGAAATCGTAGAACAGTCGGTGCGAAAAATAAGGAGAATGCAAGAAAGTAAAATATTATAAGTTCTATATCGAGAAATATATTATGGTAATTATGAATCACTATGGTATATTATATTCGTTTTCATATTTATACAATTAATGGACGCAATTTAAAACGAAATAAGATAAATACATAATTAAAATAATGAAACGATGTATGAAATAAATAAATTCATCCGTATGTAGCATCCAATTGCGTAAATTGGAAGCGGGCGACTGAAGGCTAGTTATTGTTATTTAATATTTATTTCAAATAGGTTTTAAATAATTTTTAATAGATTAATTTGTAAACGTATAACAAAAGCTCTAATGTACGAGACGAACAAAGAAATATGAAATACTATAAACATTCTAACATACCCACATAAAATTACGATCAAGAAGCGCAGTATTTTCAGAGCGGGCGAAAAGACTTTGACGCCTAATTTCTGTAAAAATGCTCATAGTTTCGAAAAACTCAACATGACCTTATTTAAAAACTGGTTTTGATACATACATGTCATTAAAAAATATACCTTCATGACAAGTTATGGGAAGACGCCGAAAATATTTTGAATTTTTTCAATGGTCGAAAAATTGAACAAATTGGGGATATTCTCATTTCCGGCGAATTCTGTGTATTGTATAAATTGCAAAATTTTAACATATAAAAATTATAAAATTGAAGGTCTTCAAAAAAAGGACCATGTACAATTTTTTGATAAAATGAGTTTTTGGACATGATATTTATGCAATTTCTAACAAAAATTATTTTCTCAAAACCAGCTCCACATTTTTTCTTCCACGGATAGAACAAGAAAAGATCAAAAGTATGGTGCAAATCTCATCATTGTTTAACTCTCCGTATTTTCGAAAATTGCAAAACAACATTTGGAAACTACAAAACTGGAGATAGAGATGAGAGCGTAGGCTTCCACGGCCGGAGTCAGTATTTACTAGTCTGTCCGGGTGACGCCGCGTCCATGGACAGCCTAGTAAATATGGAGATAGAGATGTTTGCCTTAAACAGGGCGAGAGAGTACGTGCTGTTTTAGTATCACTACTTTTTGGGTGACAGTGCGCCATGTCAACGGATCACAATGGTTCGCGAGTGGTTTGAAGAACATTCTGGACAACTCGAGCGAATGAATTGGCCACCCAGATCACCCGACATAAGTCCCATCGAACATTTATGGCTCATAATCAAGAGGTCAGTTCGTGCACAAATCCAACGTTCAGTAATACTTTTGCCATGGGCGGATATAGAGGCAGTATTGCTCAATATTTCTGCAGGAGACTTCCAACGACTTGTTGAGTCCATGCTACGACGTGTTACTACACTAAGCACTTCGCCGGGCGAAAGAAGATCCGACTCGATATTAAGTGGTATCCCATGACTTTTGTCACCCCAGTGTAAATTCGACGATTGAGCACATCCGACCCGAAAGTGTTTCGTTTCATCGCATCCTTTCATAAATGTTTGCCTAAGTCAAAATGCTGATTGGCGGATGTTTTTGTATACTAAGGACTTTGTTTTAAAGTTGTTTAATGTTTTACAATAAATAATGCATTTCCTTTCGAAAAACAAAAAAACAACATCAGAATCTGGTGCTGGTCTGGAAATAAATAAATATAAGAATTGAAATAATGAATTATTTTTTATATACGTGTTTTATATTCTACCAGAGCTTGTGTTGTTGAATACCACAGACGATTTTCATAACATAGAAAATAACTTTCTTCGTTCACGACGATAATAGGTGAAACTTCTAGACCTATTTTTGTGATAACTGCAAATTCGACCAAATTGGGAATTCCGTGTTAGTACAAAGTGGTATGCATATATTTGTAGTGCTTTATAGATAGAACGTTTTCTAATATATGCTTATTTATTTTTTATCTCCTTAGCCAAAAGAACAATTAGTAGAGGATAATAATGACAGATCCATTTATTGAACTTCAATAACTTCTTTCTTTTACAGGAGTACATCTTTCATGGTCCAAACCTATTACAGACGTCACCAAGGTACAATAATATTTCAATTAACGTCGTAATATTTACATTAGCATAAACGTATTTTATTTTTCGTTGTTTTGTTTGTTTGTTTTTTCAGAAATTTTTTCACTGTTTGTGCGACAAAATTGGATGGGTAAGGACCAAATTCTCTCTATCTAATTATAAAATAATTAACAAATTGTAGGTTCGTCATTACGTCTGTCGATGAAGAGCAAAGACACTGTGGCGATTTGTGGGTTGAAATCGGGGTGTAGAAGTATCCTTAAATTTACCCCGATCTCACATAATGTCTTATTATTTGCATTGTCCTATATTTTTATTTATTTTTATCACCATGTGAGTCTAAGCCGAAGTGCAGACGATTCAATTTTCGTACATTTATTAGGCTCCATGTCACATTTTAATAACTACTGTGGAAACACAAAATTGCAGACAATGAATCTAATAAGGTTAAACATTTTCAGACTTTTCATATTTTTTATGGGACGTGTGGGTGGGAAGTTTGAGTTTCCTCACTCCAACTGATTTAAAGTACATTTATTAGGAAGGGAAAAATCTTTAAGAAACTTGGAAATTATTATAGAATTTGTAGTTCCATTTTTATTGAGTTTGAAGATGTTTGTGCTGAAGCATGGTCATATCAAGTATTCCCACTGGCAGATACAGGACAAAAGGCTTAGAGTATTTGTTTACCTTCCATTATTTGGCGAAATTGACTTAAATAATTATGTTAGAATGATGTAATTATTTGAATTGAATTGAATTTGCCTTATTTTACGTGGCGAGACTCGGGCCATCAGGCCTGCTCTTCCGTCTGACCACGCAAATTTCGCTACGCTCCTTTCGCCAACTAGGAGAGAAAGGAGGTATTTCTTGGGCGAGAAACAGGCGATTTGAATTTAGCTCAGAGGCGTCATTTAGGCTTGAGGATCTTTTACATGCAAGTAAATCTACGAACATGTGACAGCCGGCTTTACTTCCCCTCCGAAGGAAGGCGTACGAAGGATCTTTTCGCCCTTAAAAATCCTTTATTATTACCTTTATTATATTAAATTATTTAAACAGTAATATTGTGTAGTATCCTATCTGCAGTACATAAGTAATATGCAATATAATAACAAATATGTTTATTAGTTAACAAAAATATAGGTCGGCGCCAGATCTGGCCATCCAGCGGGGGAAGACCCCCGAGCAAAACATGTACTACACTTACGGGAATAACGATCTCATTAGTTGAATCACTAACAATCAATCTATCTATCAACGACATAGAATGGGCGGAATTTCTTGAATAAGTTTCGAATTCTGCGTCTCTGATAATTGTTTCTCGACAAGGTGCAGAAAGTGCGATACAACAATCACGTGGAAAAAATATTTGTCAGATTTATGTCGTATTTCGCAAGGGTCCTATGAAACCCCTTACTGCCAAGGCGTAGCATTTTGCTTAGTCTTCACCAAATTTTTGAAAATCCGAACCTCTCTTTCTGAAGCGACTGGTTCAATTTGAATTATTTTTCGTAATGTGTTCTGTCTCTTAAACTCTCATGCAACGCTATTTTCCTGATATATTTTTACACCCTCTTTTCGATAAATTTTCTGAACAATTTAGGCCTATTAGGAAATTGATATTGTTACAAAATGCATTGGTTTGTTGTTCCTGTGAGCTCGGTCGTAAGATGGACTCTTAAGTCTGAGGTAGGATATTGGATTACGATCAATATATTCTGATTTATCGTAAGCTTTAGCGGGTTATAGGTTATCAGTATTTACCGTTAAGTAGATTCGTATTTAATACTATTATAATTAAATACTCCTGGATCACCCATAACTAAGACAGACGGGCAACCCGACTGTCAGATGGACTGACTGACAGGCAGAGAGACAGAATGGCTGCCAGGCAGGCAGACGGGGTGGCTGCGAGGCAGACAGAAGGGTTGACTGCCAGACAGATGGGCTGACTGACAGGCTGATAGACGGGCTGGCTGGCTGGCTGACAGGCAGGCAGACTGATAGACGGGCTAGCTGACGGGTAGACAGATTGTCTCTGCCTGACACAGACTGAGTGACTGACTCACATTTTGCCATGAACCAATTTTTCGGTATCAGCGATCCTCAAAATGTGGATTCATGAACCAAAGTGTTAAAGTACGTAATTTACTACATATAGGAACAATAATTATCCACTATCTCGATATCTGGAGCGTATCAATTTTACGAAAAGATAGCCGCTTTTCGCTTCGGTGTTACGTTCTCTACATTACTTAAAAAGTATGCGAGAAAGTAAAAGTGTTATTACAAAACGATATTTTGCATGCTTGGCGTATAGTACGACTTAATATTCATTTAAAGGAAAATGGTTTTGGGGATCAAAATAAAATCGAATGCTGTAGCGCAGCGCTTCGCTCCGCCGCAATCGTCAGCAGGGGAAGGGGACTTTCTCCGCTTCTCTCCGCATCGCCCGTGCGTAGGCCCACGGAATAAACACTACGAGTCACAGACCGAGTAGGAGCGTCAAAAATTCAATCTTTTTGACAATGAACATACGGTAGGAAATTTAATGTAAAGAAAGTCATCATGCAGTGCAGTTCGGTGGGTCATTTTCTCGCGGAGTCAAAGAGATTTCGCGTTCCCGTCATCCACCATTACGTGATTCGTTGCCCACCAATCAGAGACTAATGTCATGTGAGTGAAGTCGTTCAATGAAATTTCCCACCACACGTTAATTGTCAAAAATTGATCATTTCGAACCTTCTATATGCCTTATGGATTTTGTAACTTTTATTCTGGAACATTCTGTAGTAAATCTTAAATTGACTAGTTTGTCGTCATATAGTTTATTTATTCTCTTCTCGCGTTTTCATGACATTGAAATAAAGTTTGCTTGTTATTGTTGTTTAATGTCAATACAGATTAAAAATAAAGCCATTGATGTCGAAGCCACCATTCCTAATTTGACTCAAGACATAAACACTGATACGGAAAAAGGGAAAGAACTATTGAAGAAAACTATAGAAGAAATAAGGAAGTGTGGTGCAGATGCAAATCAGAGTAAGTGAATATCTTAATGTACATACAATACTGACATTATAATATTACATCTACAATTATTACTGTTCCCGCCTCCTTAATATTAATCAATGAAATATTGAAAATTCGAAACTTATTTTGTTCCATGATACATAATTGCAATGAAACACGTGTTTATATCTGACCTAGTTGTAGATTTTTTGTTTTATATTATATCTAAGAAGAGTATATTAGATCTTATAAGACAACCACTTATTATAATACTTATTTTATAACAAATAGTATTTATACATTTTAACTTTTATTTATTATATACTCGTGTAGTATTTATTTTATAAGTATGATACTACTGTTTGGCTTTGGTTATTTTTATGTGCAATTGAAAATTATACTGTAGATATCAACACCAAAAATTGTAAAGTTCCCCTTGGTGTTTACCTCCTATTTCGATTTTGATCGACTAGTCCTTATATGGTCCAGTATTGATCGAGTCGGCAAATGCGCATGGCTAGCCTACGCCTTCTTTTGTTTCTGTCCACTAACGTTGTTTTCTGGCAGCCAAACACCACGTTCAGATTTGTTAATTAATTCAAATTTTGAGCCACGCTTCAAACAGCTCAGTTTCGATACTCTTTGAAGGCATTTCAGAAGGAAAGATCATACATTTCAATCTCCCCGCTCAGGAGATAATCTAATTTGGCTCAAAAAAGCCACGCGAATTCCTCCCCAGTTGACCAAACACTCATTTTTTTCGTACAAGGTTCTTTGACATCGATTGTCAACTGCTTTCTGTTAGTTCGAACAGACACTGAAAGATTGCATCAGCTCCGGGGCGACCGGAAAAGATATACTCATTGTCTGATTTCTCGGAATCAAACCTTTTCCACGTTAGACGCGCCGAGCTTACATTGTCATGAAAATCAGAGAAGTCGCGAGCAATTTCGTGAGCATCGTGCACAGAAGCTAAGTGAAATGTATTGAGCGCATTCAAAGTTCTATTCGGGGCGCTGCCAGGCAATTCCCAGCACGTTTCTGCAATCTCTGTGACATCAAATGCCGGTACGCGGCGAGCCAAGCGTAAAATTCGTTAGGAAAACGTTTATTTTCGCCCGGACAGAGGTAACTATGACAATCTCTTCAATACTCATTGATTCTTTCGGCAAAGTAACAATCTTTGTCCATTGTGTATCGTTTCTTTTCCAGAACACTCACGTCTTATGAGAACTTTCGATAGAAAAGGCGATGTTCATTGCAGTTTCTGCTAATGCTCTCCCAATTTATCTAAGCAATCTTTCGCTGCGGCAACATAGCGGAACCCGGCAGTTGTCTTGCCCTCCATCTCTTTCTAATTCCCTCTCCCCTAATCCTCTGACGCCGTTGTCTCTCTCACTGTCCGCTTTCCGTCTCTCTTTGTGTGTGTGTGTGTATCTGTCTCTCTCTGTTTCTCTCTCTGCATCTATGTTTGCCTCTGTCTCTGTACCTGTCTCTCCCGGACGTTATTTCACCATCGCAGGGGCAGATGCTCTTCATACTACAGGATGCTGCGGCTTTTGTAGAGCACCGTTGCGAACAGGAGCGCTTGGGTCGCATAAAATCATTATCACCGCATGTATATGCACATTCCCATCGTACTATGCCTATATTATTTCCACAAGAGCAAGCAATAAATTCACAAAGTTTTATCGTAATCGGATGAACGGTACGGCAGCGCATCTAGTATGAACCAACCAACAAACAAACATTGTCTTTTATATGTAAGATAAGCATCCTTACGCTTTCGCCCATTTTATTTGCAGCCCGAATATTTACATGAAGATTAATATTGCTTCTTCTCGGCGCTCCTCTTTTTTCAAACTCCACATTAACGATCTTAAGACTGACCTTATGATAATCTTTTTCGACTCTCATATCATTAATGTTTATAATACTGTAAGAGGGGAGAGGGTAAAATGATTACTCGTACATGACTGTATTAACTTCTTTTCGGCTTCTTTGTCTTGATAAAATTTTGTGATTTATTCAAATCGGGTGATTTAATATTTTCAATTTTATTTCTTACCCCCAATAATGTGTTGGTCTATATTTTATGAAAGCTTTATATTGTTTTCATATTAATATTTCTTTAAATAACCTTTTCATTTATATTTAATGTCATCAGTTACATTATAGTTTTCATATTAATTTTCCTTAATTAACATTTTCTTTTCAGAGGCGGCGGATGAGAGAGCGTTCTCGTTCTTTTTGAATCTGCACCAGTCGAGGGTATGTGCTTGACATTAAGTCCAAAAATGGGATCCTTCCCCCCTCTTTTCTCCTTTACATTCACATTCATAATGCAAAGAAATATGCACTAAAGAACTGTTTTGCTGATCTATATGACCATCACGTGTTCCCTCTCTTTCTTTGCCCTCTTTCGCGATGCCATATCCGCCCACTTGCTTGACATTTGCTCCTTCCTCTTCAGTTGCTTTTGTCGTTCTGATGACCCGCCCTTTTATTTTTGATTGGCATCATGCTCCAGTGGAGTCCAGAAAGACCTCTCTGTTCACAGTGGGTCTCATTTGTGCGCTCTGTAATGGGGACAAGAATAACATGAGATACGATGTTCGGATGCATTTATAAACCAATGATGATGCAATATTCTAATATACCAAAATATTTTTGGTATTTTGATGAAATATCTCGTTTCTTCGTTGAAAATAACTACCACACTATTTTTTCTAAAACCTTAATTCCATGCTTGTATTTACTACTCTGATCACATTATCCACATAGTATTTAAATGTTCCATCGTTATACTGGTTTCGTTGTGCACTGTATACATTCATAATAAAATGAATTATTGAATAAATATTTCTGTTACAATCTTGCTAGTCATTACTTCCTGATAGGATATAGCTCACAAAATTCGCATTCTAGATTTCATTTAATATTTTTTTTTATCGAATTTGAAATTGTAAATAAACAATTCATCAGTTTCTTCTCTTTTAAATTATGCTAGTTTGTGAAAATCTACTTACCTCGAATCGATAATTCTACACAATCCGAATTGAAATCATTCTGGAAGCAGCTTATTCGAATGAGAATGAGGATATGCCTGGCAGAATTCATTGGGGAAACACACATTGTGAGCAAGTGAGACAGTACATTTATTTACTAATTTAAGTCACAGTTCGTGCCGAACGTCTTTTTTAAATTCTATTGGCCGTGATGATCCTGATGACACTCCATAATGGATTGTATTCATCTGAATTTGGCAGATGTCTTTGAAGCTATGAGAACATTAAATGTAAGTAAAGGGGCTGGTGCTGACTTTATGCCCAATATATTTCTGAGAAACTACCGATTTATTCTACCCAATCCGATTTTGATCATATTCAACACGTCTCTCCGCAGTGGTTATTTCGATTTAGATTTATTCAGTCAAAAAACAGTAAAAACTGTGTGACGTAGGGGGAGAAGATTATCTGCGCACGTTTTCTTGAGTTCCAGACTCCCTTTCCGTCATTTTAACTATACATAGTTGAAAGGTGAGTAAAAGTTTAACATAAATAAATAAGTAAATTTTAAAAATCGTAAGATGAGCCATATTTAAAAAATAGTCATTTTCGTTTCTGAGTTATAGAAAACTTATTTGCATCAGTACACGAATTGCAAGTATGATTTTTCTGCATTGCTAACAAAATAGCAACTTGCCCTTACCTCTACTCTTACCATTACAAGTAAAAGGAGAGTTCAACAACACGTGCGCATAGTGAAGCTACATTTACGTCCAGAAGCAAAACAAGGGGCCATCTTAGCATTTACTCAATGGATCAGAGAAACTGGACAAAAACCTGATCGAGATGGGGTTCATTAACCCGGTGTATTTCTAGACTCTTAGAAATTAAGCAAAGGGATAAAGTGATACCGATTCACACAAAAAGGGACAAAGCTGATGTTTCCAATTATAGACCTATTTCTATCTTGCATTCCTACCGAACTGGTGGTGTCACGTATCGCTCCTGTAAAAGATTCAAATTTTCCTGACAGCCAACGTGGCTTTAGACCATCAAAATCAACAGTGACCAATCTCGTCATTATACGTCACTCTCTAGCTGACACTCTGGATCATGGAGAACAAGTGGACGTGGATTATTCAGACTTTGCAAAATCCTTTGATGGGGTTGACCATATCAGCCTAGTGTGTAAACTCTTTCAGTTCGGACTGAGAGATTCACTTTGGCTTGGTTTCGGTCCTATCTACGTGAGAGAAATCAGTCTATCAGCTTAAATACACTGGTATTTGTGAAAATTGCAACACCAAGAAGTCGACAAACGATTACAATGAAATTTAGTCCACGGATATGGAATATCACAATATACAAAATGATTAGAATCACAGAACGGTATCTGCATTTTTATCTTGACTATTTAGTACGGTGTGAAGCCGCCAGGCGCTGTCATCAGATCCTCTAGATGTCAAGGCATGGATTCAAAGAGGGCCTGGATATGCTTCTGGGGAACACACTGCCACGCGTTTTCTATCAAAGTTGCCACCTCTTCGGGTTTCACCCGGAGACTTCGGGTTTCGTGACCAATCTCCGGGCTCCGGGTTTACTACTTTCTTCTCCGGGTCATGCACAATATTGAATATTCTACGCGTTCAAATGTTTCTGATTCTTAGATTTCAAGAGTTTGCACGCATTTTCTGCATTTTATTTTTTTTTATTTTTATTAAATATTGTTTTACTTGAGATTTTACGTGATTTACATGAGATTCGTAGAAATAAATAAAAATGGTTGGTGTTTTTGTATTTATAAATTACAAATACAAATATTAAATGAATTTACATATTTCTACATGTTTTACTGGCTCACTATAGACACAGTTCTTGAATACGATAATATGTGTAAATGTTAAATAAAACAATACCCCCCCCGCTCATGAAAATCTGCGGGTGACTATGTGTAATAGGTGGCAAGTCTTATGCGTGACCACAAAGCATCGCACAGTGCCTACAGGAGGACGCCAGAAGAACATGGTTGCCGACAGATTCATTTCAAGCCGGCTATACACGGTCATTTTTGCATCATTTTTTCATCATTTTTCTGCTACAGAAAGAGGGATGGAAAAAGGATGTGCGTTTTGTTTCGGTACCGAAACTGGATGAACGTGCATTCCGAGTTTTTACACGATCATTTCTGCTCTGTATGCAATCGTGTGTGAAATTAACTTCCTCACACGCCGCAAAACAGCGCTGGAAGTTAAAC